TTTTTTGCTCATAACTCCTTGTACAAAATTTCAACTGAGTTGATTCTTTTTCTGATAGAAAGTAGACTCAAAGAGCTTCAATTTGACTACTTATATGCATGTCTTTTATCTTGGGAATGGGCTCAAACAAATTGGAGAAGTCGCGAAAAGTTTATTTCAAGGTTTTGTGTGTTAATTGATTAAAATTTATGTTAATCGATTAAGATTAATAGATTAAAATTGAAATTAATCGATTATTCCAGTGAGGAATTCTTGTTTTGGGTCTCTAAGCTTAAAATATTCGATTACCACCTATTTTAATCAATTATTTATGTGAGGAATGGAAACATGGTAACTTAGAACACATTTTCTTGCGTGAAAAAGTGAGAATATTCTCGAGCTTAAAAAAATTGAAGATTGCATATCAATTCCTTTAAATTAAATGAATACTCACCCGACCTCATCAACACGAGAGATTAATAAATTCGATAATTTCTCCAAACAACTCAACTATAAAATCATATAAAGTATGTTTTTATTGAAATAATACTTTCATAAAACATATAATAACAATATAGTAAATAAATAAGATAAATAATAACCAACGCTGTTAATTATAATATGTGAATATGATAAAAAATAAGTGTAAGTTTGGATTATTTTATAGTAAAAAGAATTAAAAAATCTTATTAGATCATATTCTATTAGGTCACGCAAAAACAATTTGACAAAACTGAAAAGCGATTCCAAAGAACATAAAACCAGTACAAGTAGTGTAGTTAAATAAATTGTTCTATATTAGAATTTAACTGATTTATTATGTCTACAAGAGTTATGCACCCAAACAGAATGAGCACTGTACACGCGGCATACAAGTGTTGCAAACCTACTCAAGGGGATCATAAGATGCTTGCAGATGAACATTAAGGATACAAGTTCTCCATCTTCCAAAGTTCCGTCTTCCCGCGTCATTCTTAATTTGCTATATTTTTCACATATTTATTCAATCACGGCTACATGTATTGTGTCATTACCAATAGTTGGACGAGGCTGTACGACAAACAATTTCACTATGTTATATAATTCTTTTCATAGACACTGAAAAAATGAAAAAGAAAATATACTAAATGTCTTTAATTAACTAAAATCAACTTATACCCTTTAGTTCTTTGAAATATTAGATGAGAACAAACCTAAAAAATACAAAACTGGTATTCCATTTCACGGTCTTCAATCTCAATCGTTGAAATTTTAATTAATATATGCATGGTGAATTTACATGGTACATATATTTCCTGACGTTCCGCGTTCAAAAAGCATGGAAACATGAACCTTCAGTTTTGAAAATGACACCCACCACCACCAAACATTTCAGGTAGGCATCTTGAATGTCTACCATTTGTAACATCTAACGGTTAATTTTGAGAGTAGGTATTTCAGAACTGTACAACTTAAGTGAAGAGAGTTGACTGAAATTGCTTTCCTTTCCGATCACATCTCTCAACAAACAGTTTTCTGCAACCGATTCCTTTCCTTTGCGATAAATAATCACTTGCTTGCTGTTGAGATCATGGCATTATCTGTTGTAGGTGGTGCACTCCTTTCTGCTTTCATTGAGGTTGTATTTGACAAATTAGCTTCCCCTGAGCTTGTAAATTTCATCCGTTGGAAGAAGCCTGACAAGTTGCTTCAAAAGATGAGGAGCCAGCTGCTAGTGGTTAAAGTTGTGCTTGATGATGCTGAGAAGAGGCAAATCACAGACTCCAATGTCAAAGAGTGGCTCGATCTTCTCAATGATGTTTTGTACGAGGTTGATGACTTACTTGATGAAGTTTCTACGAAAGCTGCTACTCAAAAGGAGGTAACCAATTCCTTTTCACATCTTTTCAACAGAAAGAAAATTTTTAGTATTAGTAAGTTGGAAGACATACTGGGAAGATTAGATGACATTTTGAGACAAAAGCAGAATCTTGATTTGAAAGATATTCCTGTGGAGAACAACCAGCCATGGAAACCTCAGCCAACATCTCTGGAAGATAGATATCATATATACGGTAGGTATGAAGACAAGGAAACCATTATGAAGTTGGTGTTAGAAGATAGCAGTGATGGTGAAGAAGTGTCTGT